CATAATGTCTCGAAACTTCAGAAGCTCTTTATTCAGCCCTCCGCTAATTCCATTCACACTTAGTTTCACCTCGCCCAAACGCCTCAGAGGAGAAACGCTGCCTTTGTAGCAATTACTCCAGACCTTGATCTGACTGAGCCTCCCCTCCTACCACCTCAGCCACCACCCCGCCTTTCAAGAGTCAGCGTTGCGGGGATCGCAGTCTCCTCTGTTTGCCATGTCTTCACCCAGAGCCTCAGAAAGTGACTGTAATGGAGCCAGCTCACTTCATCCCCTGTTTATCTTTTTCCTCTTTGTTTTCTGATCCATTCACCGCTCTCTCTTTCCCTCTCTCTCTTTCCCTGCTTCCCCACCTCCTGTCTCACACAAACACGCACATGTGCATTCCACATTCCTCCGAACAAAAAAGGCCCAGGATTACGACACAACGACAGAGTTTGAAGGAGTGTCCTTTGTGCCAGCAAGCCTGTTCAAGAGTTAGTGAAACATTCTGGGGCTAGTAATTATAAACAGCAGCCGAAACTTGTGAAAGAGGTACAGTACGGCAGCTTCTATACTGCGAGAGCTCTAAAGCTCCCACGTGCAGAATAACCTCTGTCCCTGTGGCTCCTTCAGTGTGGTTGTCATGGAGGAGACAGTGGAACATAGCATGATAAGACGGTAACACGGTCTTTTAAAAAGTTCATGGTCTGAACCTCTAATCCACTTTGTAATGCAGTGGAATGGGAGGGTTAGGGTTAAAGTTATTTGCCACCTCACACTGAACTTAAATATCCATAACATGTGCTGCGGTGATGTCCGTGATGCACTCTCTGACAGTCAGAAACTTGCTGTTTTTACCAAAGAATTGCTGCCAAGATGGATTTGGATAGTGCATATCAAAGGTTGGGGTTTTGTAGCGCATAAATCCAAGAGCTTAATGTTCTATATGACAGCAGCAGGCAAAACCCTCAGTCTGACCGAAATCAGACATATGTTGGTTGATTTGACATCAGGACTGGCATCCTGCACCCCGTCATTTGAGGCAGCGGGCCTGAAAATATCAGGCCTTTGCTTTGCAGCTGCAAAACGGAAATTGGACCAGATCTCTGAATGGGCGGCTCGGCTTATTCCTCAGAAGTTGGTAGTTGGTTTGATTCTCCACACTAGTGAACTGCTTGGGGTAATGTATTGTTACGTTTCCCTTTTTGTAGAAACAATAACGCTGACAACCAACAAAGAAAGAACTCAGAGCGGACATGAGGCAGTCAAAGAAAAAAAAAAGGTTAATTTACAATTAAATGATGGTAAACAACAAACGTAGGTTTGAAACATGTGGGGGAAGGAGGAACTGTGGGGGTTGTGCCAAACAAAATAAACAAAGTACAACAAAATAGGGCCTAGCTCAACTCTATCTGTAAAAAAGAAAAATAAGACAAAAGGCCTGACTATCTCATCTAAAAAAGTGTCTGAAACTAATAAAAGTACATCAGTGGCAACAACCCATAACCTAGAGTAAATAACAATTTCTTCCGACATTTGTGAATGTATAGGGTACCCCAGCCTTATCTCAGTTCAACTTCCCCACCGCAAACCTCTGACAGAAAGCAACAGAGGGAGAACAGAGCAAAAGAGAGGCTTTTAAAATGGTGCCCTCCGTCTCTGATTGGCTACTTGGCTGGAGTGCGAGCCAATCCACAGATCTTCTGAGGCTCACAGGTGGCAGCCAATCTTCCACTTCTCACCTGCAGGACAAAGGGAGGAGAGAGAAAGGGAGAGAGAGAGAGAGAGAGAGAGAGAGAGAGAGAGAGAGAGACACCTGCACACACAACTCAATACACGTAACATGTATGATCTGAAGAGTTTTGATGGCACATGATATAGCTTTGCAGTGTTTTGTTAGCTCTGTTTGAACCCAGAGGAGGGGTTTAGAAACGTGTGTATTCCCTTCTTATTCAGAGCTGAAGTGAGAAAGTTAAGTTCCTGAAGAAGATATCAGCTCAACTAAAAAGACCATACTGTAATTCATTTTAATCCAGATCAAACTTTGATTAAATTTTTCTGTTAGCTGTTAATAACTCTTCTGCTAATTTTTTGGGCATCAGAATTATTTTGTGAACAAGCTGAGACCATGGCTTCCTGTGCACTTGTTTTAGTCCACACCAGAGTATGATGTGCTCACATCTACTCAAACAAATTTCAACAAGAGGAACAAGGATGCAGTCTCCAATTCATCCGAGCTAAACGAGGGATTTTTCTGAAACTTCTAAATGTCAAATCAAATCTTGCTGATAGACCAAAGGGATTTTTAAGGGCAGGCAGCACTTTCATGCCGGAGACCAGAGCTCGCCTTCTGTCATAGACCTGCATTTAACATTTACATTACTATCAACCACTGACACCTTTCTGCCTTAACTGAGAACATTTAGAAACTTGTTGGTTTCTAAGATATCGACACTGGACCAAATAAATCGGTGTAATCAAGAGTCATAAAGAATCACCCAATTTTTGTTGATTGGTTGATTTGGTTTATAAGGTGTTTGGCTATCAAGAGTCTCCAAAACATTTCCAGTGCTTCATCGTTACTGGTGGAGAGTGCTGTCTAACATTTTCTCTCTCCTGTAGACATTCTGCAGGCCATAATGTAAAATTCACTCATGCAAATGTTCAGTGAGGCCTTCATGCTCTGAATGGAAACATCACTAATTCAGGTTTTTTCTTCAATTTGTCACCTGTCAGAACAAGTGTTAATTCATGTCTGAATTCTCGACCGCTAACTCCAGAAACGGACCTTCAAGCTGAGACTCAGTCAGAGTGAGCATTTTACCTAAAAGTTTGAACCTGAACATTTCACTCTGACTTCACTCACTTCGGTGAATAAAGGGCAGGCTAATGAAATCAAGTCCTCTGCTCACAGGAGCCATAAAATGTCTGCTTTTGTACCAGAGCTAATTATTCATCAGGGCTTTACTAAAGATTAGTGCGGATAAATATGAAGTAGCAAATCCTTTAAATGGCTCTTTTATTGTTCCCCTACAATCCCCCCCCCCCTCATTTTAGATATGGCACAGGCAGGCACCCTTGTGAAATGACTCTAAGCCATTGTTCCTGTGTTATCCTGAAGACACGAAAGGCTAGTTAGTGCTGCCTTTGATAGAGATGCCCGCCACCATTTTAACATTTGTGTTATCAGCAAGGCAGAGAATTGTCAGGGCTGGGATGGGAATAAAGCCACTCGATCCTCGGTCTCCCTCTCTCTAGGAATGAAAAATAATAATGTGCTGGGATTGTAGGCTTATCTTGCTCTATTGTACCACAAAAACTTTTCAAAGAGACATCTCAATACATGATGTGCATAAAACATGTCAACCCTCTGAATTGAAGTGCTGCTTGCAAGAGGGCAACACAGTGATTTGCTACGTTTCAGAACAGGGAGATGATAACGTGTAACACACAGTTAGAATTATTATTACATCGAAAAGAAGAAGAGAAGTATTAAGGCTGATGCATGGGAAGACTGAATTATGAATATAGTGATTATATCTACAGAGAGCTTTCATCGGTGCACATGTTTGTAAACCCAGCTGTGGAATCTCAAAGGCAGACTGAGGTGAGCCTGAGGAGAAACGGGTGGTTCTCTCAGTGTTGGGAGAAGTTTGGCTTCAGGGCCAAAACAACAGCGAGAGAAACAACAGCTTTCATGCTTCAGTCTTCAGTTTGGTTTAGTTAAGGCAACAAAACTACCATGTTATGTTTGAGGAAAGTTCATGGTTTGGGGGATTAAATAGACCCTTTCACAACTTTACGCACATGCAAAGTCTTTTTTTCTTGAAGTCTTGAAGGGACGGTCTCCTATGTGCCGTTCTCCAGCTCTGATGCCCCCTACAGGGCAGCAGGCTCATAAGCACAGAGACCTGCAGCTGCAAACCTCCAGTTTATTGCAGTCGAATGTGCTACAGCAGCAGAGAAGTCACGCAGCCTGTGTGCAGGCTGAATCCTCGAGACCCGGTGACAGAGGTTAGAGAAACAGGATTGGGAAACTTTCAGCTAAATGAGGCCGAATCCTGTTTCAGTTCCTTTTACTGAAAAATTGCACAATGGCAAAAAAAAAATATGAATGGGTGTGGGTTTAAACTGGAAGTTTTACTGTGAAACTTGGGGAGATTCCTGCACCAACCTTTTATATGCAGTCCATGATGTCACCCCAGTAGTTAATTTGTCCTCTAAAAAGTTTTTATTTGATTCCTATCAGTGATTTTTTAATCACAAATAAAGGGCTTTAAACAGGGACTTTATTTTATTTATTCATGGTTTCCACGGTTTACTTACTTGCTCCAGTCACTGACATTTATAACGTTAATGAATCCCAGATCGTGTACAGAATGACATATGCTGTCATTCATGTGTCTGTGTGTATTTTTGGTGCAGGCTGAGATGGGTGACAGACACATTGCTCATAACACACACACACACACACAGAGAGAGAGAGAGAAAGAGCAGCGTCTTTGTTCATGGAACAGCACTGTGCACTCAGTGATTCCCTTGGGCCCCTACAGGCTCCCAGAATACAGTGCATCAGCCCATATAGGCCCTCTACAGTATCCTTATGATATTGCTTTGACTTGAGGTGATGCTCAGCAGAACTTAATGCACTTTAATTATCCTATAATAGCCACTCCTGTGTGTAGTTACAGGTTTGCTGATTGTTTGTGTTCTATTGGATTCCTATGCTTCCTCATAAGGGCAGATAAGAAAGAGTGTGCGAGTGACTCAGGGTAAAAAGATGGATTCACTCATAGTGCAGATGCAGATACGTCATCGGGTTATAGCATTTCATGTCTGATGTGACTCTCTGACTCGTCCAGCAGACAGTCTGGTGGAGGCAGCTGGGAGAAATCTGCATCTTGATTGCGGAGACACCCCCTCCACTTACCAGCACACACACGCACGCACACAACCACGCGCGCCCTCGTACTCATCCCTCGTAAAGGGGCGTGTGGCGCTGGCAGGGACTCAAACCCTCTGCCTGTGCATCAGCGGAGGAGCCGAGAGCAGTGGCGCACGGAGGCACGGACGCGGGGGGGAAACTTGCAATAGCTCTGAGACGACTTTTTTCCTTTTTATCCAGTATTGTCTCCCTCCCCTTGACATTTTGTGCGGCGCTCAACACTGACCGGAGAGTCACTTATTGTGGCTGCGCTGAACGGGAAGGAGCGAAACAAGGAGAGCCAGAGAGAGATCAGCGGCGAGGAGAGCGGTCTGTACGCGGGGAGGAGAGTGCGAGTCTCCGCGCTGCGGCTGTGCGTCTTTGCGCTGTAAGGACCCGCAGGACCGGGTTGGAACGGTGCGCTGTGGTTGTTCCACGGGTTTTTAAAAAAGGGGGTTGTGAGGAATAACTTGGACTTGGTTTCGAAGGGAAGATTTGTGTGACATTCTTTCAGCAGAACCGGAGGAATCCTATCGGATCGTACACTCTGCTCCACGCATGTTGGAAGTTGAGAGAGCAGGGCTGGATGCCTGCGGGTTTGCGAGTCCTCAAGGCGCAGGTGAATGCAGCTCTTTTTATTTGACTTATGCGTAAGATTTAAAAAAAATATATTGCTGCGTTAGACGACACTGCAATTAGAATAAAACATTTTTCACCATTTTATCATGTAGCTTACATGTTTACACATCTACCTGATATGGCCCCTATTGTTTCAAGCCCCTTGTATTTTAGTTTTAAATGTGAAAATCACTGCATGTATATGCTGTTAAAAGTAATTTTCTTCCAAACATACCATCATGTACACTGTGTTTGTGCAGCATTGTTACTGCACAGGACTGCTTGTGCTGATGGAGGTTTCTGAACACAAGCCGGCTCCTCTCCGGGTTATTTTCCTTTTAGTGCAGCAGTGACCAGTAAGAGCAGCCTGAAGTAAAAGAGCCGACACTCCTTTAATTTACGCTTTAATTGATTTTCCCTAAATTTCAGAGATGCCACTTTTAATGGTGTCATTGCTGTGGAGCAGGGATTTAACAGTTGGCGCATCTGGGGAAGCTACTGGCTCTTAAAAGGAAATGACCTGGAGAAATAAAGAACTGTTTAAATTATTGTTCTTTTCTATTGTTTAGATGCTGCGTAAAACCAATTGTGCCAAAAAAATTACGCAGTGTATTAGCTCGTGGATATGTTTCTATCTAAACTGGATAATCATTCGTCTGGGGGACAGATGGATTAGAAGGCGCAGGAACTTCTTTTTATAGGCACTACTTCAGTTTGTCATATATAATGATGAGTCCCAGATAGAAGCGGAGGAGGACATCCACAGGAAATACCCCTACAGTATTAGTCACAATCCACACTTAGAAATCTTAGAATTGAATATGCTTTCTCGCTGCACATTTGATCCAAAACTCACCAAAATCCTCAATATTATCGGGGAAATATTCCTGGAGGGAGTCACGTTGTGTCACTACATCTGCCATATATGTGTAGCTCCTCTTTGTAAGGGAAGATAGGGGAGGAGGGAGGGAGGGAGGGGAAGAGAGAGAGTGAGTGAGTAAAAGAGAGAGAGAGAGAGAAAGGGAGACAGAGAGTCATGTCACTTAACGGACTGCTGGCGCTCTGTGACTCAGTTGGCTGCTTCGCGTTCATATAAAGACACGCCGCTTCTACCCACTATAGGTTATAGCTATTTGTTATCAAGCCAGTCATACACCTCCTCCAGCCCCACCACTCGGAGCCTATAGAGGTCACAGTTCTGGGGAAGGGGTGTCTCTGCGCTTTTACGCTCGTGTTTATATCGGTTAAAACCAGATTCGGGAATGTTCGTTACGCACGGCAGCGGCAAGCATTCCTAACCTGCTCTGCATCTGTTTCCTCCAACTCCGCAGCCAAGGATTACTCCCAGCCCGGCCATCATTTGACGGAGTAAGACCGCTAAACAGGAGCGCTGTCATTTCTCCGTTTCTTCGTGCGCTTTGCGAGTCTTTGGAGAGGATATGGCACGGCCGGCACTGGAGAGAGGAGCGCAGCCGGCACAGGCGAGAGGAAACCGGAGCTGAATGACAGGATGCCAGCGACCTGAGCCCACACTCAGATCACTCCCGACTGCGCTAAAAGACACACTTTCTGCTTTTTATTGGACAAGTTAAGAGAAGAACAAGAAGAAAACTTACCAAAAAAAAGAAGCTTTTGGAGGAGTTTAATTTTAAAAGTTTTTTTGTATGCGTAATTTTATTTTTGGGGTGATTAAAAACAAGGATGCATTGTGGATTAGTCTTGATCCTGTTCACGGGAATCCTCTTGGTGGTCAAGGCTTTCAAAAACGGTAAGTGTGACATCTGATATGTATTTAAGTAAATCTTTTATGTACACTGCAAGGCTACTAATCCCAATATTTTTTTAAAAGATAAGCTCGGCCTGATCCTCACTGATCTCCTGGCAAACCCGCAAGTCGCTCACCTGCCCATTCTGCCAACACGGGGGAAACAATCTTAGACTCTGTTATTTCTGTAGACTTCTTGCTCAACGCGTTTTTAGAGATTGCACCGTCTCCCTCTTTTAACAGTGTGTTCTTATATTTTGAATTATTTGACCTTTTATTGAATATTTAAAACATTCCTTTAATTCTGGTGGAGTGGAGGCTTTGTTTATCTCCTGTTATTCCACTTAAATAGCCTCAATCTTAAACGAGTTTGCCTTTATTCACTCAATATTAATTTCTGGTTATTTGTTACCACGCATGAAGTTGTTGTTTGAAAGTTTTCTCAACAATTAAAATCGGTTTTCGTTCAGCAGTAGTGACCAGTTTCCAAACTCTGGTGTTCAGAAAGTCATGCCAAATCCTGAACTTCCCCAACTTCTTAATTCTCACAGCATCAGTTTCATTTCAACTTCGCGCTGTCCCTCCTTGTTCCTCGGTTTATTCCGTCAGAGCAGGTCAGGTTAGAGCAGCAGATGCTGGGGACTTTTAGAATGAATTGATGAATAGAAGCGCAAATGAAGATGTATGTGAGCAGCGGCGGCAGCGGGCCTCTGAAAAACAAAGGATTATTCCTCTGGATGATGACACGCACTGTTTAAAGAGATTTAAAGGAATAGCCCGTAGGAGTGTGTGACTTTTGCCTTCAGCTGAACTTAAGTTCCCTTGAAGTTTTTCGTTTCATTTGGATTGTTTGTATTTCACAGCAATTTCCAAAAGAGGATAAAAGCTGCTCCTTTTCTAATTTTACTAAGTGCCTCAATTAAACCAGTGTCTACTTCATGGGCTCAATATTAGGTTCTATTGCTAAAATTATGGATGAAGAATTCTAAAATAGATTCTGTAATAATAACAACAATGGAGAATAACAAAGTGAATTTATATTCTGAGACATTCTTAGATTCGGGTGTTTGCGTGTGTTTGCGTGTGTTTGCGTGTGTTTGCGTGTGTTTGTGTTTTCAGTTTGTATTGTTGTGGTGAAGTGTTGTTGTTCTTCTCATTCTGTGTTTAAAGAGTTTATTCCCCCCCCCCTCCCTTCTGCAGATAAATGTGGAGGCAACATCAGAATCTCAACCGCCAACTACCTCACGTCGCCCGGGTACCCCATGTCTTACACCCCCTCTCAGAGGTGCGTGTGGGTGATATCGGCGCCTGGCCCTCACCAGCGGATCCTCATCAACTTCAATCCGCATTTCGATCTGGAGGACCGGGAGTGCAAGTAAGAGCAGCACCACTTCTCGAACATGCAAAGCAGATGTGGGTTTTGGCCCCGAAAACTCATCCATTCATTCGATCCCTGGAGCCACAGTCTGATTTTGAAGTTAGCTTTACGAGGGATAGAGTGAAGCCTCTGATAAACAAAGTTAATCTTACTTTATTGTATTCCTAAACAATTGGATTAACGATCTAACAATATTAGCACTTGAAGAACCATCTAAAATCCATTGTTTAAAAGTACAGATGATCGAACTCAAACTTTCTTTTGGGAAAATAACACTAAAATAATCCAAACACACATAAACTAACATTTCTTCATATGTGCTGGTTTGTATACATGTGTGTTTGTCCATGCGCATGTGAGGTTTATTGCATTTTATGTGCGTGTGTGACTCTCGTGCCTCCCTTTCCCACATGCCTATTGCACATGAAACTGCGCCATCTAGTGTTCACAGCCTCTTTGAACGTGTGTTAATGTGATCTGGCTCTGGCACCACTTAGGGCGCCAGGAATGTCTCACCCCTACCATTTGGTTTTGGAATGTCCTCGCTTCTCCTCCTGGTATAGGGTGAAGTCATTGGGGCATAATATTGATTTGAAGTGTGCTTATGCAGAAGGCATCGAGGAGAGAGCGTGTGGCTTAAAAAACCACCAGAGGCCATTAACTGTCGCTATTCTTTATGCTGCACGAAAAAGAATGGCCATCTTAAAAAGGCATTTACTTTCATTTTCCCTCTTAAAACCCCATTATTCTCCAAACAAGTGAGAAATTCCAAGAATCGAATGAGACATTAAAGAACAAATCTCTTTTAATTCAGCACTCATTCTGTTAATGTCAGAGCTGCAAAGAAGGACAATTATCTGCCCTCTCTGGGATTTGTTTTTACATCTATATTAACTCAAACGGAGGACAAATTACCCTTTTAAGTTGGATTTATTAGTTACGACCAATCCGTATTTGACTTGTTGCCACAAACTGTCACCTAGCGAAAGGCTAAGCTTCTAACCTGCTGTCAGATAGATAGTTTAAGCAGATGAAACCGGAGACAGACAGTAATGTGATGAGCCTGTGTCAGTGTGGGTGCCCCGAGGAGAGCCTTGCCTGGGCAGACCGCCTCCCTCTGATTGCCTGTCTGTGTGTCTGTGATTGTGTGTGGTTTTTTTTGTGCGTGTGTCGGTGCCTCTGCCCCGCTCTGTCTCAGCTGTTTGTTTACGCTGCAGGGCTCGGGAGAGTACAGGGCTTTGCAGGATCTTGTTACTGTATCCCTGTTCCACCCAAAACCTGGACCTTGCGCTTCCTTTGTGCTCCTTGAATGGCTCCTGCTTTGGTTTGCAGGGTTTGGTTATTTCCCCCTTTTAATCCCAGATTTCAACCCCACTTTAACCTTCCTTCACTGCCGTCAGAGATTTATGACAGATTGAATGTTGTGTCTTTTCGGGGCAGGCTGCTCCTTGATGCTTCTTTTGGGTCCGATTTCAGCACCAGAGGGACTGTTAAACTGGCCGAGAGCCTGAGTTAGAAACGGAGAGCGAGGAAGGGACAGGAGGAAGGGGGGGTTGCAGTAACAATGCCTGTGCTAATCAAATTAGTCGGGAATGAATTTCCTGTGTCTAAACACACACAGTAAAAAGAATTTAACCCCGCAGGCTGTAGGAAGGCAGCTTTTTTCCAGGCTGAAAGCAGGGCGGGCTTTGAGTTTAGCGATCCAATGATATATCTTTTACAATTAGCTCCGCTCTTTCATGGAGCAGCCTGGTTGCATATTGCCAGTTCCTAAATGTGTTCGCAAATGAAGTTTGTGTAGTCCACGTGTTTATATCACTCCCTCTCACTCATCCTCTGACTTTTCCATTTGCACATGTCCTATTTGCATATTAATTACATTTGGAGCAGCCTATGTAATAACAATAGTGTGGCCAGAGTTCCTGCCTGCCTGGAGGAGCTAACAAACAGCCCGGTCTGTGAAACTTAAGTAAGTTTCCCATTCATGTGGGTCACTCAAGAGATTGCACCAGAAAACGGGGTCATCCTGACCTGCAGCTTTGTCCTATTTTTAATACGGTGCGCTGTTTCATTTTTAATGTTTTAATAGAGTGGTTTTCAAGGAACTCTAGTCCCACTTCACAAAAAATTCCACCTTGTGTGCCTTCTCTATTTTACTTTTTGTTTTGCTTTCCTTCTTAATATCACATGTAACATGAGGGTGTAGGTTACTGTGATAACTGCTGACAAGGCATGTCACTGGTTACTTGATTATAAGCAAGAGAATAGTCACTTACACATCTGCAGACAGTAGGGTATGATTTGTTTTGGACACATCAGACTCCCTGTCGCAGCTCCACTCACCAAATCTGCCCTTACATAATGGAAACTGATGAGAGCCAGAATGGCTTCCTTATCTGATGGACCGGCAGAGTGGGTGGAGGCGCAGGGAGGGTGGGGGTGCGACAATGCATGCTTCAGTGCACTGCCTTGCAATCTAATTAGTGGGCAAATGGAACACACATGCACCACATGTTCTCCAACATGGCTGTTATCAGCAAACCAAACAAGAAGCACTCAAAGTGGTGCTCGTAAAAAGAAAAACAACCTTTGCTGAGTGGAGTCTGGCCGCGGCCGTGTTGTTGCACGTGTGCACGGCCCTGGACAGGTTTGTTTGGGGAAGTGCAGAGGCCTGTATCCTGAGAGCTGGAGGAGGAAAACACTTCATCACAGAGATAAGGACACTAAGTGAGCCCTGTGATTCTGAATGCAGAACGTGTTTACCTTTCACGCACCGCTGTAGACTTCCACAGAGCTGAGCTTCAGGGGCGACCCTCGCCACTTTCTCATAGCCAATGAGATAAAAGCGGAGCCGGCATCAAAGCAAATATTTGGAGTCAATTTGCTCTGAAAATCAGTGGAGTGAGCAAGCTGAGCTGAGGTGAAAAACTCACTTCCCATGCACCTATTCTCTGTCTCTCCACCATCTGATTAGGTCTGGCTGTGGCAGCTCTTATCAACTAAAGATTTGAGTGTGAACAAGTCACAGATTTCACATGGGGCAGATTGAAGGGCAATTTAGTGAACCTCTTCCACATTTTGACACTCTCAGTCTTATTGTTCGCATCCAATTCTTCTTTATAAGTCTGATAAAGTTCAAGCTTCCAGAGTTTTCAACTCACTCAAACCGAGAGAAAGACCTGGAGAGTGTTTCATCCTGAGCTGCGGGCTGTTTTCCCCACCCTCTACTCTCCTGCTGACATGGAGAGGTGAACCTGCTTTTCTTTAGATATGATGTACTCCTGACAACATAATGAATCATTGATGGCATCGGATATGCTGACCAGACCGAAAAAACTGTTCCCGCACCTCTCTGGCACGTTGAAGTCTCTTGAAGCCAGCGAGTCAGTCAAGGCTGCATTGTGTTGTTTCGGAGGAGCAGAAGAGAGTGGTTAAAAACACAGTGAGATAGTGTCTCCTGCTTCTCAGCCCTCCTTTACTTCTTTGCTTTTCTCTCTCTGTCTGGATTTTCGGACCGCACAGAAATTCCACTGTGACAGTCCGTGCAGTGGGGGGGGGGGGTGTATGGGATGTATGGCAGGGTGGTACTAAGCAGTGGAGATATTTGAGGAATGTCTTCTCAAACACCCTTTTGTGGGGGAGATTATGCAGAAAGTCAGCAAAAGTCTCCTGCCTGGCCATGCATCAAGAGTCTGCCCCTGCCTGAAAAGCACATTTCTCTCTTTTTTTTAATTGTCTCTTTTCTCTGTCCCTTCCACTCCGCTCTCCTGCTGAGCAGCCCCTGTGGAAGGCAAACATTCTCTGCTGTGTACCCTCTACAATAGACATCCTGCCCGCCCTGGCATTCCTGACAAGGCCTGGACTCCAGAGATGACTAACAGGAGCTTGGGAAGGGGGGGGGGGCAGAGTAGTAACCCTGTTCTAGATCTATAGTTGGCTCTTTCTTTGTCATGTGGCATCCCACCAACTCCTCTCATATGTTCATAGTGCAGAACAAAGAGGGCCACCTGTTTCTAAGTGAGAGTGGACAGAGGAAGCTTTAGGGAACAGATCCCGTTGGTCACTTTCATTAATTCCCCTGTTCCCCTTTCCACCTGTATAGCAGCAGCACCCAGATAAAGTGCAGTGGAGCTTCATAGGAGCTGTGACTCCTCCCTGCATCTTAAAACAGCGGCTTCTCCCCGCTCACGCTCCTCTGCAAGGCAACCATGGGCAAATAAGGAGAAGTGGGCCGTGTGACCATCTATCAGCCGTTGTCATGGAGGAAAATAAATACGGCAGGAACGCAAGAGGAACCTTTTTTTAACAAGGCTGGAGGCTTTTATAGAGGGGAAGTGCTGTGACCTGCAGGGGCGAGGGGACGGGGCTTAAGAGTGACACGGATTGTTGGAGATACTTATGGTCTGTTAGGGGACATTTATTTCTGTTGTTGATGTGTGCTTCTCTTCAAAGTGCGTGTCAGAGAACATACAAGCTGGGGGAGTTGAAAGCGCCGCCGCAAAATAGGCACGGCAAAATAAAGAGTGCCTACGGCGACACCACTTCTTTTAACTACCAGCTTTGACAAAAGCAGCTGAAATTATGCACCTTGCATTTCCCACAGCAATAGACTCCCACAGCTCACAACAATGGAAATCAAATTACACCTGAAATTACATTGCGCTTGAAAAAAAATTGCTCGTCAAAAGCGTCTCGAAGAGCAACCCACTTTGAATATATCTTGTTTGAACTCCACAGCAATTACTCCAAACCCTTGTTTTGTCAGCACGGTAAAACCTGCAAAATTACATCTGCTCTTAAATTTCTGTTTGCAATATCTTTATTCTGTTTCCTTTCTGCCAACATGTTACACCGTTAATGAAGCAAGCGAGCCATTCAAAGCGAATGAGAGCTGCAGGGCTGATAAATGTAACGTGTTGACCTTGTTAATTAACCAGAGGGCAGAAAAGACAGGGCAGCAGACAGAGATGTTGCATCAGAAAGCCGTTGACCTTCAC